CCGGGGCTCATCATCCGCAGCTGGCGGGGGGGGGGGGTTGGAGGAGCCTTGGGGGATGGACTCCGGCCGCGGGCAGAGAGGGCGCGCCTTCTGGGGAGTCCCCCGCCAGGCGCCTCATGCCCGCCTAGCACCGCTGGGCGCTCCTGGAGGCTGGGGAGGGCAGACTCTGACTCCCATGATCCCCAGCTAGGAAGACAGGGCGATGGGGGGCTGATTTGAGAGCTTTAGGGGTGGACTGACTCCCATGATCCCCAGTTAGCGGGACTGGGGCATGGGTGGGATGGACTCTCCCACTGTCCCCTGCTAGTCAAGAGGGTGCATCTTCTGGGGGTGACTCATTATGCTTAGCTAGCAGGACTGGGTGCTCCAGGGTCCTTGGCACTCCAGCTCCCATTATCCCTAGCTGGGATGACTGGGCGATAGGAGGGGTGATTCAAGAGCCTCAGAGGGTGGACTCTGACTCCCATTTTCCCCAGCTGCTAGGTATGGGCGATGGGAAGGATGTTTCATCAACTTTTGGGAACCCCTCCCCCCCGTCCTTTTCTAGTTTTCTTTTGGCTTCTACACCGGCCAACATCTGCAGGGGGATGGGTGTTGTAGTCCCATCCTTAACCAACCTAATTGGCAGAAAGGATTGATCACAGCTGCCGTTGCTCCTAATTAGTGTGATTGAGGGACGGGGCTGAAGTTTGTTGTTGACCACCAGCATTTGGAGAGCTCCATTGTTCTTTGCTGTCAGAGTTTTTGGGAGTTGTAGTCAAAAGCATTAGATGGGCCCACCTAGTGGAGGGGACCAGAGATATCGGAGGACCCATGTCTACTCTTCTTTCCCATCTACATGACAAACAGACAGGGCCGATGGCAGTTGTAGTCCAGTCCCATTTTGGGAACCCTATCATCTGAGGCCAGCATCATCCCAATAGAGTGGGGATGAGATTTGTCCAATAATGCCCCCTCCCTCTAGCCATGTTGGGAAAAGTGGGCCAGTGAATCAGCCAGGAGGTAGTATTATGAGAGAAGGGCAGGGGGGAGACGTGAGGTGGAGGGACCATTCATGACAGCAACCCTGTGGAGGGATTGGCACCAAGTCCCCCAGGAAGCTTTGTGACTGAGAACTTGAATGTGGAACCTCCCAGTCCCAGGCTGAGCCTTGAGTGATGTGTGGGGCAGAAGACGTTCTCTGAGGTCTGCATGGTATGTAAGGAGATCATGGAAGGTGTGAGGGCCCTAAAGACCTGGGGGAGAGGGGACGATGTGGGTGTTTGAGTTGCTTCAGATTCAGTGTGAAGAATATTTGGGGTGCAGGCATGTCTCTTAACCTGGGATGAACAGCCGTATGCCCTCCAGATGTTTTGATGCAGCTCTCATCACCTTGGATGATTGCCATGTGGCAGGGGTTTAGGGGAGGTGTAGTCTTTACATCTGAGGTTACCCATGGCATAGTCTGCTAGTCTCCATTCAGGTACGATGGGCAAATTCTCGAATTTGCTTCAGAAAGAGATAGAGCTTGGATTCCAAGACAGATCAGTTTTGGGCTTCTGCCTCTCAACAGGTTGCTTTAAGAGGGCCTGTATGGCGAGGAGATTTGGGACCCATCCCAGAATAGTGTTCTGTGTCATCTAGAAATGCCAGAGAAAGAAAATTGGATCTTCTGCATATAATTTATTAGAATCTTAGAATGTAAGGGTTGGAAGGGGCCTTGAAGAACATCTAGTCCACTCTCCACTGCCCCATGCCGAGTGTCACTATTACAGTGCTTGGAAGAAGCTACAACTTTCTCTTTTTCCTTTACTCCTGTTCCTGTTGCTCAGCTTTCCAAGGTGAATGGATGGACTTGGGTTCACACAGCACACTAAACCTAAAGGCAGATGAACTTAACTCAGTTGTTTTATTCATATGACGTGGTTTATTGATTCATATACTCAAATAGATCACCCTTACCACGGTTCGTTCGTTCTTTCTTTCTTTCTTTCTTTCTTTCTTTCTTTCTATTCTATTCTATTCTATTCTATTTTATTTTATTTTATTTTATTTTATTTTATTTTATTTTATTTTATTTTATTTTATTATTTTTTCCCAGGTGTTGGTGAATACAGCGTGTTGCATTCTGATGCTAATTGCAAAGTTAATACAGACCGTTGTTTTTGGTCCTCTCCGTGTTAGTGAAAGGCAGGTAAGAAATCCTTGTTTGGAATGACCTTTAACTTTGTCATATTTCACAAATGGGTGAATTATGATGATTAAATTCTTGCTTTTTAATGTCCATTTTCACCTGTTTTTATTACCTGAGTCACCAAACTGAGAACAAGTTTATTAATTTTAAGGTGAAATTCCAAAAATCTGAGAAGTTATCCAAAAAATGCCTTGGCAATATATGTTTTAATTTTAGAATAAACCTTAAATTATGAATGACCCTCAGCTATAGTTTAGAATTCAAGAACATATGTAAGCTAAATAGCTTATCCTACTGCCTAATAATTCACAATGTGTATAATGACCTTTAAAAACAAAAATAATAATTATATGTGCAAATCTTTTTCAGCACCTCAAGGATAAGTTTTGGAACTTCATCTTCTACAAGTTTATTTTTATTTTTGGGGTGCTAAATGTCCAGACAGTAGAAGAAGTGGTCATGTGGTGCCTCTGGTTTTCTGGCCTTGTGTTTTTACATCTCATGGTCCAGCTGTGCAAAGACAGGTTTGAATATGTAAGTTTCACCCCCACCCCCAGGGATCTGGGCCAAGGGATGGGGGATTTCATTTCCACAGGATCCTATTGCCACACTGTCACTCAGGCCATCTAAATTTGATCTTTGGTGTGCAGGAATCACTTTTCACTTTATTTTTTTTCATGAAATGGACCACGAATTTGATGCCTTTCAAAAGGCTAGAAGGGGTAATGCAGCTGTGCCTTTGGATTAGTGCAAACCCTTCCAAAATTCCTTTAGAAATCTCCTGTTCTGGTTGCACTTGTGAATTCATTCTTTGCTGGGGACACAGATTGTGTCGCACATAGGATCAGAGGCCTTGTCACCAAATGGTAGCTTTTAAAGAGACAGAAGATTATTAAATGCATGGAGAGTGTCATAATAACAAATAATAAACCTGGAGCTGCTCAGAGTCATTTTAGTGCAATGGTTGCCCATATAAATTGGAATGGATAGATGGATGGATGGTTATTTTGACGACTCTCGATGCACTCTTGTTAATTTAAGTTTAATTCATTCAGATGTATTTTTGGTCTTTGTTTTGCCCACTTTTTTTTTTTCTGTGGGTTTATAGCAACTTTTTGGAGCACAACTTTGGCCCATAAATAATAGCAGAGGTACCTTTGGTTTTGCTTCAGTGAGTGCCTCATCCAAAGGAAGAAAGTGTTTCTGTATAAAACAAGTATAAAGTGGTGTATGAAGGATTGTGTTTGAAATCCTTGCAATGGGCATTAAAAGTAGAATTGCTGATACAATGAATGGCCTTACAGAAAACTGGATTGAAACCCCCTGTGGAATATTATGTACAATTTGTGGCCATTGCCCCTTAAAAACAATACTATAAAAGGTGACAAAGGGCATCCAACATAATTAGGGGGTGCAGCAGTTTCCCTGTAAAAGGACAGTCTTTCTCCATGTTTCAAGGTTAGGATTTGAGGTCATCTTCTGGAACTAAATACATGGAGATTCAGGATGGACGGAAGGAAATTCTTTTTCACGCAGTGCATCATTAAATTGTGGAATTTGAAGCAACAGTGGAAGGGGGCTGTGGCCATCCAGTCCTGGATGGTGAGCTTCTCAGATGTATCCAGTTGGCCACTGTGTGACCCAGAATGCTGGACTCGATGGGCCCAGGGCCAGATCCAGCTTGGCTCTTCTGATGTTCTTACGGGTACCTCCTTAAGGACAGTGAATCTGGCCTGAAGGCAAGCTGTGGAGGTGTTCTTCTGGCAAATCTTTTGAGTACTCTTAACTGAGAACGCTGGTGGTCAGAATGAGCAGTGGGTATTTTCTAACTCACTTGTTTGTATTTTTCAGCTGTCTTTTTCTCCCACCACTCCACTGAACAGCCACATTCGAGTCCTGACCCTGCTTGTTGCCATGTTGCTTTCCTGCTGTGGCCTCGCAGTGGTATGTGGGGTCATTGGCTACGCCCATGGAATGCACACACTCTCTTTCATGGCTGCGGAGGTGAGATTTCTGGTTAAACCACATAGCAGTAAGTTTTAGGCTTTCTGGCTAATCAAGCTTTGTTGGGCATCGTGCAGGATAGGGGACTGTATTTTCTTTTTATGTCTTCAGCTTCTCATATTGTTGAGTAGCCAGTAAATTACTCTCATTGCTGTAGTTTGCTCAAAGTTTGAATGATTTCTGCTGGACTCAACACTCGGTCTACTGAGCAAGTAATGGTCTATTGAGCAAAAGCTCGAACAAGAGGGGAGAATCATTGGAAGATGTTGTTTTCAATAACGGATTTGTCTGCCTGCTCAGTATCTTAACTTAGTTTATATATTCAGTTCAGGATTAGAGCATTTGGGAGGCAGGAATGCTCCCCTCCCAGCCTCTCATGGATAAACACAAGAGGAATGCAACTGAAAGTTTCAACTCACTTCCTTAATTATGTAATTATAATTTAAATTAATATCCAAATCTCAGTACCGGCCTTCCCCAGTCTGGTGCTTTCTGAACAGGCATGATCGTAGCTCCCACATTTGACCTACACGTTACTTAGAACAGCTTTCAATATACTTACAGGCTATTAGTTTGGCTTTCTTTTCTACAAGCTACGTGGTTCTAGTTCTTTGACTCTTTATTTGTCATGTATCAAAAATCTATAAACAGTTAGGGTTACATGCATTGGATTTCCTCTTCCAGCTTGTTGTGTCCCTGGAAGTTGGTTATGAGTGCTACAGGCGGTTCTCCAGCTAAGCTTTACCAGTTGAGTGGAGATCTTGTCTATTTTGGCCTGTCAGGTTGATTGATGGAACCCATTTAATACCTGCGTCGTTTTGCAGTGGCATCACATTCCTTCCTTGTGTTCAGTGTGTCATCTGTAATGACCTTCAGCTCTTTTTTGGCATCAGGAAAGGCATGGCAGTCATCCTAAGTAGCAATTTTGCCTTTGGGTTGTTCTGAATGGCACTCTATTAAATGCAATCGGTCTTATTTTTCAAAATGTTTTTTAGTATTTTGAGCTTGTCCTCCATAGATTTGCAAGCGTTTCCTGTTTAACAGAGTTAGAAATAGAGATTCAGTTTCCTCTTTCAAGCTACTTAATATAACAGTCATTTTCTTTACATATCACTGATCCTTTTTGCCTTTTACTTTCCTCTGTAAGTCATCCATGGTGTCAGCACTAGGTTTATGCAAACTGTCCTGCTGCTGTAAACTGATAAAAATCTAAATTAGTAATGCTTATAATAGCTTAAACGGGCTTTTTAAACAGCGTTAAAGCTTTCCTTTGAAACAACTAAATAGTGTGTACTTGCTTCATGAATTTAGCTATAAGAGTTAAAAAATGACACTGAAAATTGTCAGTGTGATTTTATCATGAATGAAAAAGTGCATCCCAACTTGAATTTCAGTTTCAGTTTGAGTTTTGAAGAGATTTATTTCCTTTCCAGTTGTCCAATGTGTCTTGGCTTATACTAGTTGTAGAGTCCATAATTAATCAGTAATTAATATTGATGCAATTGGATGCTTCAGTAGAAATGGAGGAGGATAACTTTTTCCTATGTACAACCTCCAGCACCTCTTTGGAATCTGCCTAAAAGGTCCCCCCAAATGTTCTGAACCAAGTTTGGGGGGTCAGAGAGGGCTGCCCCGAAGGGAAATTTGTACCTGCATGGTTGACTAATGAAGATAGTTGCTCCTTATTGGCCTTTCATCCTTTGCATTTAATTTCATGTTTTGAAGTAACATACAATTCATATTTGTCATAACGATACCCAAATATTTTATATTTTTTTAAGATTTCTCAATCTTAAAACCAGTTTTCTCCATCAGTTCTGTTTGATCCTTTATTTTCATATTTTTTGTTAACATCTTTGTCTTCTTTTTTTAATAGTTTTATTAAATTTGAAAGAACAGAAAGATAAAAACTAACAAGAACTAATAAACAAAAAAGAGAATAAAAAGAAAGAAAAAAGGGAAAAAAAGCAAAGGTGTAGAAAAAGAGAAAAAGAAGCAGAAATACAAAAAAAAATGACTTCTGACTTCTTTTATAGCAGATATAAGTAAAACATACATTAAATTCTTACTCTAAGATTTCAACTTAACTTCCATTTTTTCTATAATCTGTTAATTTTACTAATCAGTTGTAGGACTGTTTCCTGCAAAAAGTCCAAAAGGGGCTTCCAATTAGCATTAAAATGATCCAATGTCTTTTCTCTAATCAAAGCTGTCAATTTCACTTTCTCAGCTAGCTCCATCAACTTTACCATCCATTCTTCCATTGTAGGTAATATCGAGTCTTTCCACCTTTGAGTGTATAAAAGTCTTGCTGTAGTTATCATATATAAAAACAAAGGTCCATGAGATTTTTCCAATTGTTTATCCATCAGCTCCAAAAGAAATGTCTCTGGTTTCGATTGTATATTAATCTTCAAAATCTTCTGAATTAATAT